GAGATTTACAGCTCTGGTTTCTAATGGGGTGGTTTGCGATTCTGGAAGGGTTTTTTGGGGGAAGAATTGGGGAAAAGAAGAGTAATAAAATGGGTCCATTTAAATGGATGGTGGCCCACAGGTGACTCCTCATACATCAGCTGATGTGGCAGTCCGCGTGGCATGGAAAATTGCCGCTGGGCACCTACCGTTAGTTTGTTGGACGGAAATGGTTTAGTTGCAACAAGAAAGTAACGTAAATGGTTTAGTTGCAACGTAAAATACTTAGGTGGTTAACGTGCAACCAATAGTTAATTTAAGTGGCAGATGGTGCAATTAACCCCTATAAAAGAAGAAGACAGAATGGCGTGAATCCGGTGAACTGTTATTGGAGCGGAGGAGAGGAGGAAGAAAGCCCTAATTTTCTCGGATAACATATAAAAAAAATTACATCCAGTTTATATCCTGATTTCTAATTGCTGACCTAATGGTAGTGAAAGTAATGTTGATCGACTTTCGATTGTCGTTGGCACGTTCAATCAAGTGGGCGAAGGATTAAGGGGTGACCTGATTAGCCCGCTTTAGCCCAGATTAACCCGAATTTATACGAGGAGCTGTGGAAAACTCCTAATCTATGTATAAACTAGTTAAGCTAATAGTACCCCCTAAATAATGACTCAACCAATTTGAGCTATTTTATACATTTTCTAAATACATATATAAGTAAGGTAGTATTTTAACAATTTAATAATTTTGCATGCATCATTTAGTAATTTTTTTACATTAGAATATACATACATTTAAAACCCCTACCCCAATTCAAGTTCACTTTCTAGAACGCCCTCTCCCATTGTTTCAATCCAAATCCAATTGATTCGGGTTCAATTGTACATATTTTACCCCTCATTTCTTGATAGTTTGGCTTTGCATTTCATCATCCCTTGACATATTTCACGCTAGGTTGTGCTTGTTTTGATACATTTCAGGTCCTAACACGTGTGGGAAGGTCGATGACGAGTTTTGGGTCGATTGGAGGTCGAAAAGCGCGAAAAGATGAAAAGTGTTTCTAGAACAGTTTTACAAGTTACTGGCGCCAAGCCAGTTCACGATCGTAAGACCGTGAAGTTCAGCTCCAGATCGTAAAGTGTTGTAGTGAAACGGCGTGTTTCTGGCCGAGATCATGGTCCAGGCTTTGAGTTCACGGCCGTGAACTCAGACCGTGAATAGCCTTCGACCTGAGTATAAAAGGGCAGCAGCAGAAGGAAGAGGGAGAGCTGGTTTTTGGAGAGAGATTTTATTCCCTCTCTAGGGTTTCACCGAAAAATACCAAAGGGGAGTTCTAGTGAGAGAGAGAGTGCTTGAGTGATCTTGGAGCTTAATTGGAGGTTTGGGTTGATCTTGAAGACAAGGATTCAAGCCTAGAAGAAGAAGAAGAAGATCTTGTGCTCCAATTTTTAATCTCTCTCTTCTCTCTCTAGAAACTCACCCGCTTTCTTGGGTTTAAGAACCCTAGGTCTAGATTTTGGTTCTATGTTGATGTATGTGACAAATTCCATGTTTGATTGATGATTTTACTTTATTAATAGATGTTTTCATGAATGGCATGAGTTTGGTTTCCATTTTCATGCATTGAGATTTTGACCTAGGAGTGGGGTAATCCCCTTAGAGCTCATTATTGGCGTCTTCGGGTCACTCCTGTCGTATATTGTCTGGGTACTCCCCGAGGAAGTTGATTCAATTGGTCTCCTCTCAATATATGAAACCCTAGGTTGAATAGAGCACCTAGCCATCCATCGATTCACTGTTCCAGGTCATTTCCGTGGGATTCCATCGAGCTAGGAGGATACCCAACATCGATCCAAGGTCAGAAATAGAGGGATTTAACCCAAGAGAGCTCCAAACCTTGTAAATAGCTAGGTTAGTGGCTATTTTAGGTTAGTTAGTTTAATTCTCTCAATCACTATCCTAGGTTGGCTAGATAACGAACCCTAAACCTGAAGTAGGGTAAGCCTAAATCCCCAAGGTACGATAAATTCTTATTGCTTGCATGCCCAATGCTATACTCAGTCGCCGGTTATACTTGGCCGTCGATTGGGATGTTGTAGCCAAAAACTTGACTCGCCACGGACTACACCGCGAATTAATCCCGACTAGAGCCCAAGTTTTTAAACTCTATCCAGGTGCAGTATAGGACAAGTATTTAATCGTCAAACCCTGGCCAGTCCATGTACCCTTACTTCAATCGCTTAAATTGTTATATAGCAAAACAGTTTTGCGTTGAAAACTAAGAAAACTACAAAATACACAAACAAGGAAAGTAATAGAGGAGAATTCTTTGCGAGAGGACTTCACTTGGGTATTGCTTCCCCTAGTCTCATATTAAGAAAGCGTGAACGAAACTCTAGTGTGAAGGATGTGATCATATACCATGAGATGGGTGCAACTAGTTAGGAAACCCAAACTCTCTCTTAATCGATCGAATTAAGGGTTGTCACTATAGGCTAGGAGACCTAGCCCTCTTAACCGATCGACTAAGGATTGCAAGAAACAATCACTCGGAACTTAATCCGGACGGCGGATAGCGACCAACCAAGATGTACTCATGGTACTAATCCGACATTTGAGGTTTGCCCTAGGTTGCTCTAGAAGGGGGATAATGCAAGCAAAAACCAGGAGATAATGCAAGCAAAAACCACAAATCATGATCAATTTAAAGTTTTTCCTAATTTGCGTAGGTCGGTGACACCAATTGGTGAAGAATCCAACTTCTCGAAGCCTCTATCAACAAGGGGATGCTCTCCACCTAGGTCAAAATGACCCAATCATGAGTTAAAGCTAGCACACTCAACCATTCATGAAAAATACCTCAAATATTATATAAACACACAATCAACACACATGGAGTCATGTTCTTACATCCAAACACACATAGACTAGGAGGCTATTCCATAGCTAGGCAAAGGAAAACAAGAAAAATGAGAGAAAGAACCATGAAAAGATGAAGATCTTCCTTCCTTGTTGCTTGAATCTCCCTTGAGAAGAAGAAACCTTCAATCCCCTAGCTTGTAATGAGCTCAACCTCCTTCTTCCTCCTTTAAATTGCACTTTCTCTCCCTAGAACGGGAAGAGGAAACCCCAATCTCTCACTAGAAACCCTCTCTATTCTAGAAATTAAAATCTTACTCAAAAGCTCCCTTTCTCTTTAAGCTCCCTTCTCCTTTTATAACCAGATTGGGCTCTGTTCACGGTCTTAGTTCACGGCCGTGAACATCAAGCGTAGACTACTCGAGTCAAAACGCGCCACTTCACTAAATCAGTTCGCGGTCTCTGGCTTCAGTTTGCGGTTTGTGGATCCAGTTCATGGTCCTGATGACCGTGAACTCCTGCTTCCGACTGTGAACTGTTGATGCCTCCACACTTCACGGGGTCATGGTTTTTTTATTTTTGCACTTTTCGACCTCCAATCGACCTGAAACTCTTCCTCGACCTTCCCACACATGCTAGGACCTGAAATGTAACAAAACAAACACAACCTAGCGTGAAATGTGTCGAGGGACGATGAAATGCAAAGCCAAACTATCAAGAAATAAGGGGTAAAATGTGTACAAAAGGACCCGAATCACTTCAATTGGGATGTTGTAGATAGAACGAGTCACCAATCCCTAATTTAATTTCCTTGGCCGCCCTCTCCCCCAGTTCACTTCCTTGGAACTATTTTTCTTTTACTTTATTGGATTAGGGTTAGACCATGGAGAAGTCCTATAAATACTTCTCATATTCCTCTGTAATTTGTATCTTCTCGAAGTCTGGTGAAACTGGCTCTCTCCTGCCTGTGGTCTATCTAACATACACATATTGTGTTAGTGAACCACGTCAATCGTGTGTCGTGTGTTCGTTACTGTCGATTTCTTGCTTTGGAGCTCAATTTGAGAAGCATGGATGCGATTCGAGTCCAGGGGCCTCTACCACGTTAAATTAGGTATGTTTGTCTACAAAGGAAAGCCATTGGATGAAAGATTGGATATCTTTAAGGCTTCAAACAAAAGGCCCGAAGTCGCTATGAAGCATGTTTTTCTGGCATTGTGCTCGAAGTATGCCAGAAAAACAACCTTCGTAGCAACTTTGACCCTTTTGTTCCAAGCCTTACAGATATCCAATCTTTCATCCAATGCCTTGAATTTTCATAAAAACATACCTAATTTAACGTGGTAGAGTCTCCTGGACTCGACTCGCATTCATGCTTCTCGAATTGAGCTCCAAAGTAGGCTTCACAAACACGTTTCCAGACTTAAGTCATTTTCAGGCAGTTTCCCAGTTTTGGCATAGCCTTTTGATCAGGTTCAAAAATGGTATTCTGAACTTCCTATCGAGCTCTCAATCACTTCAATATGTAGAGGGACACTCCAGCTTCAAAACAAGCCATTAATCTTCAATTTCCATCTAACCAATTGTATGATATGAATCTCCAAATTAGGCACCATGAAACTGTTTTTACACTAAAAAAATAGATTAGGTCGACCTAATCCTAAATGAGGTCGACCTAATCCTAACTGAGTTCGACCGAAAAGTGCAAGTCTCCGTGACATGCATGTCACTGTAGGCGCACCCAGAAAGTCACCGGATGGGTCTATGATCGGCTTGTGTTATTTTCATTGTTGTTGGAACCGGATTGTAACTGGGTTAAATTTTTTGGGTGACGCTTGGCATATTCAACGCAGTACTCTCATGTTCTTGAGACAGTGGGAGGAAGGAATGAGAGCCCTTTAATTAGACAATGACGCATGCTCGTGTCTCACGCGTCGTAGAACTTGATTCAGGATCTAGTTCTCGATCTAGTATCTACTATCTAGTATCTACTGTACCATAGTAGAAATGTGTTTTCATAAGGTACAGTAAGATAGAGAGTAAGTTATAAAAGGGTTTTGATTTTTTTAGTGTGTGACGGATGGAAAGTGGGAGAATTACAAAATCCACATACCTCACCCAGCCGCCAATTACAAAAGTTAATAAAACTCGTTCTCGATCGAAAACTCGTCAACACCATATTGACTCGCTGTTGAGCGGGTCAAAATCCACATAATCTTCCCGTAAAAAAGCTTCAAATCTGTTTGCTGCGGATCGCGGCTGCTGACTTTGCTATTATTATACCGTTGTTGTCGGACCTTCTTGTTCGTCCTCTTTACTGGTTCATTTGCCCTGATCATGACCGTTGCATTACTGGTACTATTATTGGTACTGGTACTATTATTATCGATCCTGCTTCTGCTGGTATTTTTAGTACTACTTCGACGCAGCAGCCGCTTCCAATTCTTGGCATTCCTCGCTTGATGTTTAGTATGCTCACAAATATTCCTGCAGTGATTCACTAGCTAAGTTAGTAATTAAGAATAAATAAGAGTACAAAGAGTATAGAAGACAGATTATAGATGACCAAGTGGAGGAATGCATCGTTGCCGTAGACGTGGCGGTAGGCTAGTGATGACATAGCGGAAGAGAAACCACAAAATCAAAGTTAATAGATTGGCCAGGATCAAATTAAATTAATAGACCGCTCCCTTGATATTCCACAAAATCAATTGAACCTCCAACAGAAGACGTAGCATTGAAGCTCTCACTATGAGCTACCGAGGGGGGAGAGACTTGTAGAAATATCCATTGCACTGTCAAAGTCCATGGGCTCTGCTCTGTTATTAAATGCACGGATCAGTTCTGCTGCAAAGGCAAGAACTAGCAACAATAACGTCCATACCTAAAAAGAAAAAATGATACTAATGAAACTGAATTCCCATCAACTCTCAATATTTATGATCATTTCTCAACGGGAGGAATCTTGCACCCAAAACAAAGGCTTAAAACTCCAGTTTCAGCCTGCTAACAAGCTGCTTCGGGTAGAGAGATATACAGTGCTGATGTCAAACCTTCAACACCATTCCTTCCCCAGTGAAATAGCTAATTACCATACACTGGTTCAGACTAGGGATGGCAACTAAACCCGAACACACGGGTACCCGACCCAACCCGGTCAATGCGGGTAAAACCCGAGTTGACGGGTTTTGGGTCGGGTTCGGGTTTCAACCCGCTACACCATTATCGGGTTAGGTTGGGTTTGGGTTTAGACAAACTCGCCCCATGGGTACCCGCCTACACTCATATAATTAATTTTTTCGATATATTTAATATTCTACACAATATATCTTCCTTAAACAACTAATATTCTTTATGTTTGTGGAGGCATGTCTAATTTGTTCTTTCTAATTGTGTACGATGAAGTTGATATTATGGACTGGAGGTTGATATTATGGACTGGAGAGTGAAGAAGTTTAGTTGACAAGGAGGAAGGAGCTGTCAATTAATCATGTTGTTTATAGATGTTTATCTTTAATTTTGAACAACTTGTATTGATAATTTCCGGTTTGTTTGTATGCTCTAGATTGGTGTTTTTTTGTATCGATAATTTTTATGAGAAAATTGATTTTAGACTTTTATTTGGAAGAAACTTGTTATTGTAAATTTTTTACGGCAAAAATCCACGGGTACCCATGAACTCGCGGATATCCAGCGGGTTGGGTTGGGTTTGAGTTTTTCAAACCCAGCGGGTTTACCCCGGATTTTTTTGGCGGATAAACCCATAAGTTTGGGCTTGGGTTTGTCAAAACCCGTCCCAACCCGACCCATTGCCATCCCTACTTCAAACATTTTATCTTGGGTAACTACTCGATTCAGGATGTCCATCAACAAAAGAACGCTATGCTCTGAAATATTTTAACTATGGCCGGTTTTTGTCTCCATCCTCATCCAGTAACAAAGCTTCAAATCTGTTGCTGCAAAATCTGCTGCCGACTGTGCTATTCCTATGTTGTAGTTGTTGTTGTTGTTGGACCTTCTTGTTCGCCTTCTGTACTTTTTATTTTGCCCTGATCATGACCGCTGCATTACTAGTACTATTATTTGTAATGGTACTCTTATTATAGTTGTTATACTATGTTATTATAGCAGCCGCTTCCAATTTTCCGCATTCGTCACTTTATGTTTGGTATGCTTACAAATAGTCCTGGAATTTTTTTTTTCTTTTGGCAGAAACGAATATTCCTGCATTGATTTACTAGCTAGGTTAGTAATTAAGAATAACTAAGAATTAATACATAGAGCAAGGAAGCAGATAGAGTACTTGCCAGGGCATAGGAAAGAACCAAAAGTAGTTCTGGTTGTGACCATTCCGACGAGCAAAACATTCGAATTTTCCATCCACGAGATTGAAGACGCCACAATCATTCCGGTACCAATTGACCGTACCAAAGTCCTCGGCATAACCTAGATCAAAATAGCCGTAATAGAAAGAAAACGCAAAATAGATGCGGTCGCCCCAGCTGGATGAATCAGCAGGCAGGCAGATGGACTCATGGGAGTAACTAAGGAACAAAGCATGTCCCTCCAAACTCCTCACTTCTTCCCAATCATAACCATTACTTTTGCCAGTACCAGTGATGTCCACAACTCCACTGCCGCAAGGCAATACTAATCTGAATACGCGGAACGTGACGTGGGAATGATGATCCTCATCTTGGGCGAACCTGCGTAAGATGACCAGGAGGCGACCATTAAGGTTGGACTAGTGGAGGAAGGTATGGTGGCGCGCGGTAGGCTAGTGATGACCACTGGCGGATCCAGGGGGTGGCCACCCCGGGCCCCGGCCCAGCCCTCCTCTGGATCCGGAGTTAGTATAGTCTTTATGAATTTTTCGATTTTAGTTATTCGGTCCAGTGTTATTTTACAACAAAATTGGGTGTAACTAGAAAAATGATTCAAATTAACATATTAAAATCACTACTATAAATTTAGCCTAGAAATTCTACCTCCAAAGATTATTCTTCTAAAAAAACAATGAAATCTAAAAGTCTAAACGTAAAAGGCTATAAGAAATATGAGTTTTATTCCCTGAAAATTTACTAAAGCAGCTAGTGGATATAGGTATGGACACACAATGCACGATTGATTTGTCTAGCGTTGACGCTGATCGTATCACCAATTATTACGGGGAGAACCTTTTCAACAATGAAACATATGAAAACTTATTTGTGCAACAAAAAGAGCAATGAATTTCTCGCCGATTGCTCAAGTATTTTATTTAAAACAGTGTATACTATTGGTATGGATGTAGACATGTAGACTCCATTATTGATGTATTCGCTAAATTAAAATATCATCGTGTACAATTTATATTGTAAAAAACTATAATATTTTTTTACGGTTCTAATTTTCTAATGATATGCGGCCCAGTGCTCTTCTGTTTTCTGGATCCGCCGCTGGTGATGACATAGTGGAAGAGAAATGGAGTGATCTCACAGCCGCAACGGTTGGCCTGTCGAGAATGTAGACGGAGTCATCATCGCTGAGCATGTAAAGTTTGTTTCCAAAGAAGGCGGCATCCCAGATGTGGACATTTTCAGGAATGCTGCTGCTCGTAATGTTCCAACGTTGGAGGCGTCCTCTCGGTCCCACCTTGCACGAGGCGAGCCGAGGAGGGTTGGTGCGGCAGCTTAGTATGATGAAAACGTAGCAGCTGTCACGGTGGTGGTCTGGAGAGGATGAGATTACGGCTCTGGCGATGAAGTCAGACGGCTGGCCGGCTGTTGAAAGATGTCTTCCGGTAGGGGGGGAAGAGTCGGCTGGAGAGTGGGGAGAGTGATGGAGGCGCATGTGATTGGGTTGAGGAGATGTAATCGGACCGGGAGAGGATAAATTACTAGGACTCACCCGTCTTTGGAAGCCAGGCACGGATTGTTCCTCCGAACTTCTCTCTCGTCGTCAGTGGGGAGGCTGGGACCTAGAGGGATCGTTAAGCGGGGCAACTGATGGCTTCTTCGTGGAGGTGATGGACTCGGGGAATTGGAATATATCTGATCATCTAATATGTCGTTAATCGGACTAGTGACAAACGTGTGGAACATTGTGACGGGAGAAAATTCATAGTCGTCGGAGTCCCGTTCGGCAATGAGGAGGCCAGGGAGAGAGCCCGTCGTGCTTGTAATTTCGGGATCGGAGAGCAATGGATCTCCAAGTTTAGCAAACTGCGGAGAAGGTGACCAGCTGCGTAGTCGTGTCGAATGGTCCCTCGCTATCTTCACTATTATGTCCTCCGGCAGCTGCGAATAATCCATCGAGCCCCGGAGTGCTAACAGCCACCTAGGGTTTCATATAAGTTTTACATGTGGCCGCTAGGGTTTACTAAATCTTGGGGCGGAAATGAACAAAATTCAATGAATCAATGGGTCATGGGGAGGATTTTTTTTCTCCATATAAATCGAAGACCTCTTGCCCATAAATCAGAGTGCGCAAACAACAGAGACTCCATCGCGGATGGCAGGAACACAGAAAGATTCATGGGGCTTGGCAGCAGGGGACCAAGAGTGTAACTGACAAGCATGCATGCATATGGAGAGAGACGAGAGAATTACGTTGAAAGGCTTACCCGCTGCAACCGGGGAGGGTATGATCAGTTTGGCCGTCGGCCGGTGTCTAGGATTTGGGACGAAGGAGGACAACGAATACCTTCTGATTTTCCCAGATGCCAGATGCTTCCCTTTTGCTTCGTCCCACTTCTGCTTGTTTGGAAATAGGAAGGCTTTTCTACTTTGGACGCGGTTGTTTTAAGATCCGTATTATCAAGCACAAAAGATTTAAAAGAGAAACAAACTGATCACTCGTTCGATCAAAATCTCTTTTTGCCGAAAACAATGGCGGATCATCTCTATAGGATGCAAATGAGGGGATAGGTTACGGTGATTAATGTGTAAATTGGATATGACAAAAAAATTATTAATTATTTTTTTAAATAAATTATATTTTAGGAGTTACAAATATATATTAATTACAATTTTCTCTCTTTTTCTCTCATTTTCGCAATCTCTAGTCAGATCTCTCTTTCTTTTTTTTCTCAATTTTTTCCTTGTTTTCATTCAGCCGAACTAATACCGCTGCAACAAATAAACAATATCAATTCATTAAAAACACTACCAATGATTTTATCATGATTTTACTACTACTACGATAAGAATTAAATCAGTGTTATACTATTATAATTTATATCATGATCTTCCTACTTTAATTAACAATTAAAAATATTAAACAATTAATTTCGCACCAATCATAATGTGACACGTGAGCTGGCAGTAACTCAGTTTGCTGCTAAGTTTCGCCCAATCCCACGCGTGTAATCATAGTCGTGCCAATCATCAAGCTATAACTTATTCTTAAAACGAAAGAAGCATCCGTCCAGGAAAAGCAGAAGGTTTACGTCGTCCTTCCTTCGTTCCAGATCCAGACGCCAGACTGATCATCATGTCCCTTCACGTACGTCCGTAGCGACGGGTAAGCGTTTCTACTTCTCTCCGTGAATATATGCTTGCCAATTACGTACGTTCTTGATCCCCTGTCGAGCTCCATGGATCTTGTTTGTTCCTTCGTTTGATTCATGGGAAATGGTCTTTGATCGATTGATGGAAAACAAAATTCACCCATGAGGGCCATCGATTGATTAATTGAACTTTGTTCATTTTTTCTCCATATCCAGTAAACCCTAGTGGCTGGCTGCATATAAAACCTATGTCGTCTTATATGTAACCCTAGGTGGCTGCGGTTACCACTCTCCGATGCAATGATTAATCCGAATTGCCGGTGGACATACTAGAAAAGGTAGTGGCCGATCACTTGCACACCTTTCCAGCTTTCCTCATTTGGCCGCCTTCTCCGGAGTCTCCTCAGATGGAGGCGGATTACTCCCAACTGCCGGAGGACATAGTAGTGAAGATAGCGAGGGAGCATTTCGAGACCACTTCACAGCTGGTTTCCTTCTCCGCAGTTTGCAAATCCTGGAGATCCATCGCTCTCCAACCCCAAAATTACGAGCACGGTGGCTCTCTACCGGGACTCCTCGTCGCCAATGGGGAATCCGCTGACCATGAGTTTTCTCCCATCACAATGTTCCACACGTTCGTCACTACTCCGATTAAAGACAATCGTGATCAAACATCTCCTCCACCTCCACGAAGCCAGCAGCTGCTGCGCGTCAAGATCCCTCTGGGTCCTAACCTCCGCACCGACGATTATAGAGAAATACGGATGAACAATCCGTGCGTGGGCTCCAAAGACGGGTGGGTCCTAGTAATTCACCCACGCCCGGTCAGATTACACCTCCTCAACCCAATCACACGCGCTTCCATCCCTCTCCCCACTCTCCGGCCGAACGTTCCCGACTTCAAGGAGGCCTCTTTCAACCGTCGGCCGTCTGACTTCATCGACAGAGCCGTAATCTCTTCCTCTCCTGACGACCGCCGCAACAACTGCTACGTCTTCATCATATTAGGCTACGCCATTGATCCTGGGCTGGCCTGGTGCAAGGTAGGTCGGGGAGGTTGGAATTTCACGAAAATGCCGACAAAATATTTCTTCACCGTCGACGCCACCTACTTTGGAGGTAAACTTTACGTTCTGGAGGGCAAGGATTCTGTCTACGTTCTTGATGCACCTACGGCTACCACCACTTCTCCTACTTGTTGGAGGAAACTCCCATTCTCTTCCGTGATGGCCTCACTCGTCGAGGACAACCACGACTACTATCACACCTTTTTCCACTTGTCCCACCTCTGCGGTCGTCTCCTCGTCATCCTGCGCTGTTTCGTCGAGGATGATGATAACGACGCCACGTTCCATGTATTCAGATTAGTATTACCTGAAAGAGATGCCGGCGGTGAAGTTGTGGACAGCACAACTATTGATTATGAATGGGAAGAAGTGAGGAGTTTGGAGGGACATGCTTTGTTCCTCGGTTACTCCCATGAGTCCATCTGCCTGCCTGCTCCTTCGTCCAGCTGGGGTGACCGCATCTATTTTGCGTTTTCTTTCTATTACGGCTATTTTGATCTAGATTACGCCGATGACATTGGTCGGATCAATTTGTACCGGAACGATTGTGGCGTCTTCAATCTCGTCTATGGGAAAGTCGAATGTTTTGCTTGTCGGAATTTTCACAACCAGAACTACTTTTGGTTCTTCCCTATGCCCTGGTAACTAACTACTCTATCTGCTTCCTTGCTCTATGTATTTATTCTTAGTTATTCTTAATTACTAAACTAGAAATTAGTGAATCTTAATTACTAACCTAGCTAGTGAATCAATGCAGGAATATTGGTCAGCTTACTAAACATCAAGCGAGGAATGCCGAGAATTGGAAGCGGCTGCTGCTGCTGCTTCAAACTAGTACTAAAATTACCAGCAGAAGCAAGACTCAAAGTAGTACTCAAAATATCAGCAAAGAAACAGTAAAGAAGACGAACAAGAAGGTCCAACAACAGCGGCATAATAATAGCAAAGTCGGCAGCAAATTCTGCAGCAACAGATTTGAAGCTTTGTTACTGGATGAGGATGGAGACAAAGACCAGCCATAGTTCGTCCATCAGGACCGCTTGCTGCCTTTTATAATTTATTTCAGAGCAGAATTCTTTTGTGGATGAACATCCTGAATCGAGTAGTTACCCAAGATAATTAAGATGTGTCTGCGGAGCGGATCAGATCAATGAATGCCCAACAATAAGGACGTTTGTTGTTGGTAGCTTGTTGGCAGGCTGAAACCGGAGTATTAAGCCAGATAGATTCCTCCAGCTGAGAAGCCGGTTGATGGGAATTCAGTTTCATTACTATATTGTTTGCTAGTTCTTGCCTTTGTAGCAGAACTCATCGTCATCGATGCATTTAATAAGAAAGCCCATGGATTGTGGCTCTTGCTTGATACAATTTTTTACTGATCTTGAAAATAAATCATAATTTTAGGACACTACAAAAATATCTATGGCAAGGGTTATTTTCACTAACACCAAGGATTTTTACCCCTGCTATAAGATTTAGCAAGGATTTTGTCGACCCTTGTATCAACCCTTGCCAAAGCTATCCCTGCTACACGTAACAAGGGTGTTCAGTAGAGGTGGAAAATGGTTTGGTCCGGTTAACAGAGATGTATTTGCCAGCTATGGGCGTAATATGGGCCAGACAAGCTTTTGAACACTGCACTAACTCGGAGATTCAAGATTCTGTAATGATTCTGTTTGGCTCCTCAAAAACCAATCTGAGTGCGAATGCAGCTCAAGTGGATTATGGCCTATAAGTTCTGTTTTTTTTCGTTGTCGTTATATATGTGTGTTCATTTTTTTGGTAAGACTTGTTTTGTCTGTTCCTGCTATCTAGGTTCCTGAAGTGTACCCTCTGGTTTGCCTGCTGAATTTGCAGCTCCAAAAGTTTGCAATGCGGTTCTTGTCATCTTCTGATGCGCGCCCATCATTAATATGCTCTGTAAAGGTGAGACTAACCTTCCTTCATGTTATTATATTAAGTGCATAAATAACAGTTGGATGTAAAACCGTGGACCAAACCATTGTAGCCTTTGTTTTGTGCTGAAATTTCGTTGATCGATCTCTAGTCATGATTCTGTTCTTCCTTCCTTTGGGCTCGATTTATAGAGGATTTGATTGAGGAGTTAATTTGACTATGTTGATTATCAATAAGAGATTCCATTTGTTTCTTTTGTAAAATTTGACTTTTGTTTTTCTCTCACTTTGGCAGAAAAGCCTGAATGGTATTAGAAGCCGTGGTATAGTTGGCTCTGAACTTTCTGAATCGCTAAATGTCGCCCTTAAAATTGCTAATAGTCTCCCTAACACTAATGATAAATGATTTATATACCCACAATAAAATTTCAAAATTTAAACAAACCAAATAATCCCTAACCCTTCAAACTGAACCCCTCATCTGCCTTCTTCGCGAATCCCTCTCGACGCACCAATTCGTCGGCGTCTTTCCCGCCGCCATCGTCGCTCGTTCTCTAACGAAATTTCCAAAAAGACGCTCAACCTAAGCAAAGTTACAGTTGGTCCATGGTGCAACCGCAAGTGAGCTGCGGTTGGCCCATGGTGCAACCGCAAATGAGCTACGGTTCCCTTTTTTTTCAATTTTTGGAGTGAACTTTACCAATTCAGAGTCACTAGTCATGATCCAGACATCATATCGACGATTCCAACTCCAGAATGATGATGATGGATTCTCTCTTTTGAATAATATTTTATTTTCTTTACTAAGTGGTGTTTGTTTGCTAAAGGAAGAGTAAAGAAGCTAAAAGGTTAAATTTGTAACTTTGATGTTTTTCAGGGACATTTAGCAATTTTAAGGGGGACCTTTAGCAATTCCCTGAACTTTTGTCTACATCTAAATTCATACCTTCGGATGGAACAAGAAATAGGTGATGATAAAGTTACTTTCCTTATGAATCACTTGGTGAACTTGTAGAGCATTTATTCTTAGTCAATCATCCATACCACAATCTCACTCAATAGGTTCGAGTCCATAGATTTTGGAACGTATAGCAGCACTTGCGTCCGAACAGTTGTAAAAATGTCATTGAGACCCATCAAGAATTGGAAGTGGAAGGGAAATCGAGGGAGAGAGAGTGAGTGTCGGGCCTTGTCAGCTTCAGGCCTCATCGTCGTCTGTTGGCTTCGACTGTCTCCGTCGTCCGTCGGCTTCTCGGAGAGGTGTGGCTGCACGAGCCAGAGCTGAGAAAGGGATTAGGGTTAGAAGGGCTTCACTTGGGACTGCGGATAGGTTTTATTTTTATTTAGTGCAGAGCTTCTTTCTACAGATCAATGGGCTTGTTTTGGGCTTACGAATTATGGATCCGGTTTTCCAGTTTTAACCGGATCGGACCGGGACAGTGGCTTGTACAATCGCAAATTGGATTAGGTTGCTTGGAATCCGGTTTTCGGTTACAACGGAACGGTTTATACTATGCGGTTTTCGGTTTGACCGGAAAACCGAGACTGGATTCCCAGCCCTAGTGTTCAGCAACCCAAGGTGCAAGCCTCATGCAAGGGTTTGAACCGGTGATACATATAGCAAGGGTTAAAACCCTTGCTAAAACATTGTGTAAATTTTAGTAGAGATATGTTGATAGCATGGGTAAGAACCATTGGATAAATACGTTGCAAACACTACCTAAGGATAAAATCCTTGCTACGGGTCTTACATAACTCGTGATTAAAGCAAACTTAACAGTTCGCAACCAATTGTTAACCGTCTTTAAATAGTGGTTGCTAAAGGGAAACGAGCACTAGAATTGGAAAATAAGTTTTAGTTGCGAATGCTTTGGTCACTATAGACAACCCTGAATCAAATACCAAGATTTTCAACAATAACCAAATCATTCCATGCACCTTACCCGTCAATACTTCTTCATTCACAAACATAGTATCATTCGCGATCAAAAATAATATTATTTACATGGCTACAGGTTAATTACCAAAAACATTCAAACATAATCCAAAGAAGATCATGATCCAAAATTCTTTATATAAGACATTCATAACAACATCGTATCACGAAGCCAAGAACCTTAAGATGGACCAGGAGAGCTAGTTTCACCCTGTTCATATGAGAAAAGAATCAGTAAGAGTAACATTATGGCAACCTAATAACACCGAGTGTGAACTAACATTGAGTAAATAACAATACATCAATATAGCACAAGGCTCACCTATTTATCTTTGTGCTTAGTCTAAAAACTCAGAAAAACAGAGAATGGGGAAGCAAATTAAAAGCGGAAATGAGAAGCAACGAAAGTAAAGAGAATTAACATAGAGGTTAAGATATTGTTTTTGACATCTTCAATCCAATTCTTGGGGGGATTCCTCTACTTCTTAGAAACAGAAAAGCACAGAGAAAAGCAAAGAAGTACGAACACTATTCTTCTTACTTGTAATTAGTGGATACGCTTTTTGCCAAAGTTTCTTGCTACTGTTTCAATTCTTGGCCTTTAGTGAGTTGAAATCTAAAACCTTTTCCTGGAGAGCTTCTTTCAAACTGGACATTATGTGACCGCTCTGACCCACCAGAAGTTATCGGATGCTGCACTGGGCGACCATACCTTCCCCCTGCTCCTCCGTCAACTTCACTGTCCTTCTTCCAATTGCCTCTCTCTTAATATGGTCATGCACGCCACAGCCCTTGCCGCTTTTGCATCTGGTCCTCCCTGGAGAGAGCTCTTTGGACACACCACCTTCCCATCCGTCACAGTTGCTTGGACACGACACCAACCATTGATTGTATGGTGATAGAAACACGTTTTCGTGATTCTATCATAATTATCATTATTATTATTATTATTAGGATATTTACAAATAAGGATAGTAGTCTTTTAGTAGAATTAGGTTTATTATTAGAATTTTCTATCTTTTCCTATATAAGTGTATTTAGGGATTTCATTATAGTCAGTCAAGAAGAATTTTAAGAAACAATCTCCTAAATCCTATTCTCCCAATCCTCTCAATTCTCGTTCTCAATCCCTCTAAAGGCCTAGGCCGATTCTCTATCTTTCTCTTCTCAAATCCCTGATTCTGTTCTTAATCCCTAAATCTCAATTCTTGATCGAATCCTAGAACCTGGTTCTATCAATTGGTATTAGAGCCATGGTCACGAATCTGAGTTCGTCAGAACTTGTCTACCGCTTGCAAGTCAGCTGCGCGCAAGCAATGAAAGTATTGGAGAAAAGCATACAAGATGCTGGGAAGAGCATACAAGTTGCTAATAAGAGAGACGAGGAGTGGAGGCTGTTGGTGGAGAAATTGGAACGAATCCTAACCTCGCCTCGGCGAGTCAAGCCACCAACCACCACTGCTGCGAGGTCATCCCCACCACCCGCGACCAAAATCCCCGCCGTAATTGTCCCTGCTGTCGCCAAAGAAGAAAATTATGAGGCCACAACCACGCCACCACCTGCAAAGGTCCCGGCGATGGAGGCCACCACCCCAAACATCATCACTGCCGAGGTGTCGAAGAAAGAGGCGCTATCAACGCTGTCTGCTATGGACAATGCGGTCGTGACTACAACCGCAATTGACGTCGCCGCTAGCTCGCTCAAGGAGAAGGGGCGGAACCAGGTTTTCGAGGTTGCAAACGATGTTGCGATTGAAGAAAAAGGTAGATTTGTAACTTCTGTTGCTGTCGCAGACAGTGAGAGAGAAATTGCCTCTATAGAAGAACCATTGGCGGGAGGCACGGAGAGAAGAACGACGTCGAATTGTGTTCCGAACTGACGGTTCCGGAAGAAGGGATCGAGGTTTGCTGAAGGGGAAAAGGTGTTGGTCGTTCTCTCGTCGCCGGTCGCAAGCTCGGAGGAGACAACATAAGAAGAGATGACGAAGCAACGGATCAGCGCGGCTGCTTCTTTGCGCGATTGACGACGCACCCAACCCGGGCGACGAAGGTCGAGAAGGAAGAGAAGAGTCGCAGGGGGTTTTCACCTGTGACGCGACTTTGAGGGCGGCGCACTGTTGGAGATGAAGAAGAGAAGACGGAAAAGATGAGCATCACCAGCTCGCCATCCGCCCACCTGGCGATCTGGCCGTCGCAATACATAGAGAAGAAAGACGGAGGCAGTGGGCTTCCTCACGTGTCGCTGGATATGAAAGAGAAACCATAGGCGATCTGGGAGCCTCGATGCCTGCTAGGGTGTTCGCAGCCGGAGATAGAGGAAATGAGGGAGAAGGAGTGGCTGGAGAACGAGGCTAGGGAGGCGGATCCCATGGCAGCCAATGTTTAGATTTCACTTATGAGATTTCCGTACCTAATTTTTTTTAAGTTTACATATTGGTCTAATGTTTAGATTTCACTTAAATCCATGAATCCAATCCACCAATCATTTTGAACCATAATGTACATTTTGATACCCAAATTTAATTAAATTACAACTTAGTCACTATAATGTACATTTTACATTTTGATACCCCAAATTTAATTTTAATGTAAAATCATTAAACAATTATGTTCTGGTTTCTAAATTTATGAGATTTTCGTACCTACAATTTCTTAAGGTTACATTTTGCAACCAATTGTTAACTGTCCTTAAATAGTGGTTGCTAAAGAGAAATGAGCACCAAAATTGGAAGATAAGTTTAGTTGCGAATGCTTTGGTCACTATAGACAACCCTGAACCAAATACCAAGATTTTCAACAATAACCAAATTCATTCCATGCACTTTACCCGTCAATACTTCTTCATTCACAAACATAGTATCATTCGCGACAAAAAAAAAATATTATTTACCCTGCGATAGGTTATTTACCAAAAACATTCAAACATAATCCAAAGAAGATCGTGATTCAAAATTCTTTATATAAGACACTCACAACGACATCGTATCACGAAGCTTGAGAACCCAAAGACGGAGCAGGAGTACTAGTTGCACCCTATTCATATGAGAAAAGAGTTAGTAAGAGTAACAGTTATGGCAACCTAAAAACACCGAGTGTGATGTACTAACATTGAGTAAATAACAATACATCAATATAGCACAAGGCTCACTTATTTAGCTTTGTGCTTAGTCTTTTTTTTTTACAGTAATCTGTGATAACTTTTATTAATCAGATGAAAGCGGCTACATTATCCAGCTGAAGCTGATAAATAAGACAAGTCGGTGGATCATCTATCCAAACCATTCTCTCATCCCACCTTGTTTCAACATGTGCCATTACATGGGCTGCGATGTTGGCCTCCCTGCAAATATGTTGCCACCAACCTGCTCCAGAACTCTTAACGTAGAGACTAATGCTACGGCAAAGGACCCCCGTCTCATCCATTACTGCCTTTGTGTTTTTCAACTTCTGTATGAGTGACAAGTTGTCTATTTCCAGCAGTACGTTCGGCAACTGACATTGGAAAGCCACCTGCACCCCGAGCTCCACCGCCATTGCTTCTGCTTCTTCTACTTCCCATTTGCCAGGAATCTTCTTAGTTGCTGCCATTAGGAACTTTCCCTCTGAATCTCTAATAACCACTCCAAGCCCTGCTCCTTCTTCCCCATACAAACTAGCATCAGTGCAAACCGATGTAGTTCCCACTGGCGGCTTCTTCCAAGCTTTACAAATCAATTCCGGCTCCCTGTCCACAACGGTTCGCTGCTGCTTATTCTTCTTATAGTCTTCCAAATAGCTTTTTGCGCGGATTGGAATCTCCTCTTCGGGTAGTTTAGCTCAATTGAACAAATGAGCGTTTCTTTCCTTCCAGAGATACCATAGGAGTACGCACCAAGCCTCTATTTCATCTTCCTTTCCTTGCTCGAAAACCGTTGACATCCATGATAGAGCCGAACCATCTCCCCTCATCTCGAAATAGCCAGCCACCTCCGTCTTTCGCCAAATCCGCGATGTCCATTCACATTCAACAAAGAAGGGGTACTGTGTCTCCCGTTGTTGACAGAACGGACATCTATTGCCTCTACGAGAGTTGTCAGGGCCCACCTTTACACCGGTCGGGAGGATCTCTTGTGTGAATCGCCACAAAAATTGTCTCACTTTTGGTGGCACTTCCATTTTCCATACCATCTGCCATAATGATGTAGTTCCCACCGTCACCACTCCATGATGGGCTATGAAGTCCTTCAGCCATAAATAATACCCTTCACTTGCTGTATAGTTCCCTTTCTTACTCGAGTGCCATATTAGGGTGTCCACCTCTCCATTTCCTCTAAGTTGAATCTTCTTGATGGCCTTCGCAATATCATGGGGGAAACAGCTCTCCACCACCACATCATCCCATGTTCCCTTTTCAGTGTCAATTAATTCGCTAACGTAAGAATCAATTGGAAGTCCCATTGGAGCCGAGTTCACAAATTGATAGTCAATACTCGGGAGCCAGCGGTCCCCCCAAATTCTCACGTTCTCCCCGTTACCTATTCTCCACCGTAATCCTCGATTCAGCAAGTCTTGCGCACTCAAGAGGCTACGCCAAACAAAACTCGGGCGGTATCCCATCGTAGCATCCATGATCATCGTTCTTTTATGATATTTCGCCTTCAAGATGCGAGTGATAAGTGTTTGGGGCCTTTGGATGAGATTCCACAATTGCTTCGCAAGAAGCGCCTCGTTAAAACCTCTTATATCCCGAAACCCCATCCCTCCCTCCTTCATCGAGTTCACCATCTCCTCTCTTCTCAGCCCATGCCTTCTCCGCTCGTCAGCTCGCTGTCCCCACCAGAAGTTCATGATCATGTTGTATACTTCGTCGATCAATCCTTCTGGTATGCGGAAAACAAACATAGCGTATGTGAATTGAGCTTGCGCTACCAATTTGATCAATACTTCCCTTGCTGCCACCGAAAGGGTATTCTCCTTCCAGCCATTTAGCTTCTTCCAGACTCTTTCCTTTATCCCATCAAATAAAATCTTCTTCGATCTTCCTGCTTCCGTAGCCAACCCCAGGTACTTATTGTGTTTAGTAACTAGCTACATACTGAGTACTCCTCCAATTTCCAATCGCCGATAGGGATGCACATTGGAGCTAAAGGATACCTCCGACTTCTCGAAGCTAACCATCTGGCCCGGTTTATTTTTCATAGTCATTTAGTATCCGCTTTAGTTCCTTGCTTTCTTCAATTGTTAACCTGGTAAAAAATATACAATCGTCAGCGAAAAAAAGATGTGACACCATTGGAGCTCCACGGGCTGGCTGAATTCCATGGATTCTCTTCTCCTTTACCGCCTTCGCGGTATATGCCGATAGTCCTTCTGCACATAGAAGAAAAAGGTATGGGGATAGTGTGTCTCCCTGTCAGAGTCCTCTACTTGGCTGGAAAATAGAAGACTGATTCCCGTTCACCAACACCGAGAACGATACTGTACTACTAACACACAACATTATCCCTCGCACCCATCGTTGCTGATGGTTTTTATAATTGGTCCTGTTCTTCTTCGTTAACTTTGGGACGTCCACGACGGCCGGCTTTGTTTTTGTCTGCTCAAACGTCCTTTCTTGATCTTTTCTGCGCATATGGATCATATCCCTACGTACGTTACATGCCATGCAACAAGTCAAGGGAACCAAACAAAACAATTAGAATTCAATCAATTGACATTATTAACTTGATCAGTAAACAACAATCTAGACACATGTGGTGCGTTACCAGGGCATGGGTAGGAACCAAAATGTACGTGCCTTCCTCTTCAAAATTAAGTTGTCACCCCCACCAAGATCAGCATGACAATGAAACCTCTCAACCTTTTGATCGCCAAGATTGAAAATGCCGCAGTCATTACCATACTCATTGGAGGTGAAAGCTCTGAAATGAAAGTCTGGAAAAACGAAGTAGATGCGGTTGCCTTTGACCCCATTATTATTATTGAGTGGATCCGCATCAAGACAAAAGGACTGGTGAGACCCCAAAAACACAGCATGGCCATCCAAGTCCGTCACTTCTGCCCAATAGTTAGTATTGTTGTTGCAGTTACCGTCTCCTTTCTGTACAAGCTTGTACACCTCGAACTCGATGTGGTAATGAGAGGGATTGTACCAGTCACTACTATGGCTTAGGATGACCAGGAGTTGACCTCCGAGGTTGGCCAAGTGGTACGAGGTCCCGTAGTCTTCATGAGCACTTCTGTCTCGCCAGCTGGAGAGGTATGACATGGCCGGAGAGAGCGGGAACACTCTCACACTAAGCGTACACGTCACCAGACCGTGAACCACGGACACGTACTCGCCATCCACCAACACGTACAGCTTCCCCCCGAAGTAGTCCATGTCTACCCGGCATCGAAACCAATGGTAGGGTTCCTTGTTGAAAATGCTCGAGTCGCGGCACGAGAACTTCCATCCTCCTACTGCGTCCTTGACCACCGCGTGCACGTTGCACCACGCCAGTTGGGGCCTGGAGCGAAAGAGAAGGAAGACGTGGCAGTCCTCCTCCTCGTCGTCGTCTTGGTCGGGAGAAGAAGAGATGGCTCCTTTAAGGATGTGGGTAGGGTTGGCGGGGAAAGGGAGAGGAGGGAGAGGGATGGAGGATTTGGTGATTGGGTTCAAGAGGTAGAAGCTGATCTGTGATAGGACGTGCTGCATGATGAGGATCCACCCGTCATTGGAAGCCACGTAGTGTTTTGCTTCAACGGTGGACCCCAGGTAAGAGTCGTCGTCGAGGTAGATGCCGTCGCCGCCGTGGAGGCGCACCGACTCACGAATGATGTGGGACACCTTGGATCGTGATGGGAAGTGAGGCAGCGTCACGTGCGGGAGCCTTCTCCTTCTCCTTGGCGATGGCTGCTGCATAGTGGTGAGGGGAACGAAGTCATGTGGTGGTCCGCAGTAGCGAGAGGCCGCGGGGGATTTCAACGGCATGGCCGCGGCTTGCGAGATGAGGAGGCCCGGAAGCTGCATGGATAAGGGCCGGCGGTGGCGGAGTGGGAGAGCGGCGGTTCTCCATGATTTGCACACTCCGGAGAAGGCGACCAACTGAGAAAAGGTGTGCACGTGCTGCGTCACTATCTTTTCCAGTACGTCGGCCCCCAATTCGGAGTAATCCATTAGCTAGGGTTTACTCAATCTGGACAAAGGAAAGGAAAGAAAGAACCCTAATAGATTGGTTTTAAATTTCGAATGGGAAAGATTCAAGAAGAACGTACGTACGTAACTGACGAACATCCATGGAGAGAGACGAGAGAAGAAGAAGGCGCTTACCGGCCGAGGAGATGGAGGACGCGAGAGCGAAGAAGACAGAATGGACGTGAATCCGGTGAAATGTAATTGGAGCGGAGGATAGGAGGACGAAAACCCTAATTTTCTCGGATAACATATATATAAAAAATGGGTGATAATTGGCTGCTGGCTGGATTGCAGCCCATAGCTGCTACCAATTGCGTGGCAGTGTATTATTGGCCTATAAAATGTTAATTAATTATTATACTTATTTGGCAAACGGTACGGAAGCGGCTTCTTTTCTTGGACCGGACGGAGAAGCAGCCCAACAGTGCTATTTCTTTACTCTTTAGCTTTTATTCTATTATTATTATATTTGTGATTTTGTTTTGTTTTGATAAAAAAGGAGATCTAATAAAATTAAACCCACCTGCACAGCACTCCCATGCTTTATTACTTGCTTTCTAGCCTAACATAGTAGACCTCCAGGTCTCTTTTTTAAACATCACGTACAGGCGTACAGCCATAGTTTTACCTTCTGAATTTTTTTTTATATAAAGAATATATTGAGAGGAATGATATGATATAATATTATGTACAATATGATATAATATTATGTACAATATTACGTACGGCGATAGTTTGGCCAACATCAACATGATCATCAACATGAAAGTACCAAATTGATCCCTAAATGTTAAAATTAATTCTATGAAAATAACACACAACATTATCCCTCACACCCATCGTTCTGCAAATCCCATGCGCCTCATCACACCTTCAAGGAAATGCCACTCCACCTGATCATAGGCTTTCGCCATATCTGTCTTTGCTGCCATAAAACCGACACCCTTTTTCCTTTATTCTTCATCGTATGGAAGCACTCAAAAGCAGCCATAACATTATCAGTAATGAACCGCCCAGGGACAAAAGCACTCTGCTTCTGAGATATTACCTTGTTTAGTACCGTCTTCAATTTGTTTTCCAGGGCTTTTGCCACTAGTTTATACAAAACATTGCACAAACTAATGGGTCGATAATCTTTCGGAGAGCTCAGTGACTTCACTTTCGGGATCAGAGCTAGCAGCGTGTGATTTAGGTTCGGGGGCATCTCCATTTTTTCAATGATTTCCTTCACTGTACGACTAATATCCTCGCCAACTATATCCCAAATATGACCGAAAAAGGCACAGAAAAGCCATCAGGGCCAGGCGCCTTACGTCTTCCCATCTGTTTCAAAGCTTTGAACACTTCCTCCTTGTCCACCTCACGCATCAAGATGTCATTATCCGCCTGGGTCACAGTTTTCGGGATTGCATCCATAACCAGCGTTGAGCTTGGTACCTCCCCTGCCAAGAAGAGCTTGCCAAAATATGAGGTAAAACACTCAAACAATTGCTCAAGGCCAACGTACCACCTTCCCGAAGCATCTTGCAATTTACGGATTGTGTTGCGCTGCCTTCTAGCTGTGGCCTTTTTGTGAAAATAGTTAGTGTTTTTATCACCCTCCTTGAGCCAATCCGATCGAGAACGTTGTTTCCAATAGCTCTCCTCATCATCCTCCAGATTGGCCAGTTCTTCTTCAAGTTGCCATCGTTGCGCCAGGATCGTTGGCGATTGGTGCATTCTTTCCAGCTTCCGCAGGGCTCTTAGGATTTTTGCCTTCTGTCTGGTGAAATTTGGGAAAGTTCTAGTGCATCCAAAAATACTCGACAATTACTAATCTTCTCCATTAATCCCAAGCCCCCTGATTCCTTCCACGCCTCTTCCACAACCTTCTTACTCTCTTCATGTTTTGCCCAGTGTGGGTCAAACCGAAAGCTCCACCCCATTTTGGTTCCTCATCCTCATCATCGTCTGTGTCACAAATGATGGGTCTGTGATCGGATCTTGTTTTGTCAAGATTTTTTACCCGAAACCTACTAATAAGGGTTGTCCATTGATCAGAAGCAAAGAACCTATCTAGTCGCTCTTCTATGTATCATGTATTTCTTCTTCTGTTCTCCCAGGTAAATTGGTACCATTCATAAACATCTCTAAGGTTTGCATCCAGTAAACACTCATGGAAGGCCATAATATCCCTCTCTTCTCGAGTTTGACCTCCTCTCTTCTCATTTCCTGCTAGGATTTCATTGAAGTCCCCACCATAAAGCAATGGGCCACTCCATTGCTCCGCCAATTCCCTCATCAGATTCCATATATTTTCTTTCTCACCTGTCACCGACCAGCCGTATATACCAGTAAATCTCCAATTCCGTCCTTCACTTCCCACTATCCGTGAGTCGATAAAGTGACTCGAAGCATCCATGATCGTTAGATCAATTTCTTCTTTCCACCACAAACTCAAACCTCCCGCTCGACCATTACGTGTGTTATCGGTTGGCCAGCATTTCCCTCCCACAAAACCTAGCTCCTTCTGCGTTACCTCATTCTAGTCTTTTGTCTGCTTGGTTTCCATTAAGAAAACCACTTTTGGGGAAGTATGTTGCAAGAGCGACTTCAACGCCTTAACTGCTCGCTTACTTCCCAATCTGCGGCAGTTATAGCTGAGTATTCTCATTTATGACCGCAAGGGGATAGGCTCCCCGCGCCATTACGATATTGATCCAACTTCTCACCTTTCCCCTCTTTGGGTTCCCTTGCTTAACCTCTCTATCTTCCTTACCATCTGGTCTTACCACTCCTGTTTTCTCCGCATGTAACGACCCTCGTGGGTTACTACCTGCATTTCCCGGCACCGTCACTTTACCATCCTTGTCCTTCTTCGTACTCCCCTGAGCTCCATGGACAAGATCGTCCTGCTTGTTCTCCTTCTGCTTGTCATTGGACTCGTTGGTTTGTCTCTTACCATTATTAGGTTCCTTGTGTCCACTATCTTTAGGGTCCTGCATGGCCCCTCTCTTGCATGTAGTGGCTCTTTCGTATTCACACCCTTATCATCATTTGGTTTCCCCCTCCTTACATGCCTTCTTTCCTTTCTTTTAACCATCATCCAGGGTCCATAGCTCGGCGCCTGTGGTTGATCTTCCTCTTGTGCCTCCGGAACCATCTCAACTGTTTTTGACTCATCCTTCTCATCCAATTTCTGACATGAACAATTACTGTTTGAACTTCCATATTGCCCACAGTCCATACAAATATTATCAAGCCCTTCGTCCTGCACGAGGTACTCAATTCCCTCCACTTTATATCGCCCTAATAGAGGTTTTGTTAGTTCCACTTCCACACACACTCGAGCATAGTTTCCACGCGCCCCCATTTCGGTTGCTCTATCAACCCGAACAGGTTTTCCAATGACCGCTCCTATCTTCATAGTTGCCTCCTTATTTATGAACTCTATTGGGAGGTCAGGTAGCTGAACCCAGACCAGCGTTGATTTCACTGTTGATTTCCATGGGTTGAAACCCTTGTAGCACCGCATAACTGTCAGATAAGTGTCCCCCAATAGCCATGGTCAACCGTTAACTGCTATGTCATAGTCTTCTTGTCTACAAAACTGAACGAGGAAACAACCATTTTTAATATCCAAAATTTGTAAATCACCATGCCTCACCCAGAGATAATTCAGTCTTCTAGCAAGAGGAATGTACGAAACTCTCCTCCCTAGCCCTTTCACTACGAGTGCAGATCTCCACTCCCTCCTCCATCTTATCTTCTCTGCCGCCGTAAACGGAACTGTCGGGCAGTGCGGGTCATTCTCCATCCCATTTGTAATGTCATCCTCCTCTCTTTCAGCTTGTGCCACATCTTCCGAGTCGGAATCAGCTACATACCAGCTCTCTTGCTGCACAACCTCACTAAAAAATCTATGATATTGTTTTTGGCATCTTCAATCCAATTCTTGGGGGGGATTCCTCTACTTCTTAGAAACAGAAAAGCAAAGAAGTACGAACACTATAAGATAATTATTATTGACTATGATGCCACATTCATAATCAAAATATGCTTCTTCAATGTCAAACATAAACTCAAACTAAAAAAAAAAATCGACCCCAAAAAAGAGAGGAGAAAAAATCAGAGAACGAAGCCACATTTATAATGGAAGATGATTATTTGTGATGAATGTTCATCTTGATCGAAACCTTCACTACACATTGCGACTGTAAATACCCAACTCTTCTTTGCATGTACAATTGATCCAATGCTTTCTGTTATTCCACTGGCTCTACTCTTTTAGTCGTCAACGGCTAATAAAGCTTGGAATTTGTTGGCTAAACGATTAACCTTATTACCATCATGATGTACTCCTACTCCATCTTTGGGTCCCCAAATTTTGTGAAATGATGTCATGAAGCTCTTATTTGAAGGATTTGGGATCGTGATCTACTGATGTTGCTTTGAATCGTATTCTTTTTAGTGATTGAAATATTATGAGCATACCGTGTTTCTTTGCATTATATTTGAACGTTTATGGTGTTTGCATTTAGCCATGTAAACAACACTTTTTTGGATGATGAAACATATATCATGTTATGATTCAGGGTATGAATGATAGAAGTATTGGTGAGTATATCGTATAATAGAAATTTGTCTATAGTAACAAGGGTATACGCAACAATGTCTAAGGGTTTTTTTTTCACAAACTTTTTAGGTACGACTTGGTTCATTGCAAAATGTTCTAGTTTGGTCACAAAGTATGCAAGGGGTTTATAGTGACCAAACGCTAATGACGGCTCAGTTCGACACAAAATGTTCTTACTTCCGTCACATAACACTCGCAATTATTGCTATATTGTCCTATAACAAGGGTTTTAACCCTTGCTAATTGTAGCAACCACCCTTGTTACAGAAATATCTTTGCGGAATTTTACAAAGATTTGTTCACGCATAGGGTCAGGATTTGCATGCCTTGAGCTCGAAGAAAGGTGTGTTCGCTCATAGGGGAAGGGATGGGGTGTAGGGGGTGTCATGGGACACCGTTAATTTAATGAATTAAACGATTACCTAATCTTTCCAAGCGAACACAAATCAAACATAAACTCAAACTAAAAAAAAATCGACCCAAAAAAGAAAAGAGAAAAGTTGTTTGTAATGAATGTTCATCAATTACAAACCAGCTAGCTGAGCTCTTCCTGGCTGGTTCGATACTTAATTTATTACTTCCATCTGTCGTGCGGCCCTCCATTTTTATCCATACTTTTGTTCTTCCACAGGTTCTACATGTTGTTGTACCAACACAAGTCCTAGCTAGCACTACAAGAAAACCTGGCTATAGAGCTAGAGGTTATTTGCATCTAGAAGCCACTTATTTGTTTCTGTATATCTTTTGAAACAAATAAATTATTTGCATCGGACGCCTCTGTCTCTAATTCTCTTTAGAAACAAATATTGATGCAAATAATATCTGCTTCTAATTAAGGAATCTGAATCAAATCTTATTGATTGTAATTCCACTTTAAAGAAGGTATCTTTTACTCTTCTTATTTGGTTTTACATAGAAATATTTTTGTTCCTATTTCTCTTCCTATTTGCCACTGTATGACAGAACTATAAGCAACATTTGTATTTGTCTCTAAAGATTATTATATTTGCCTGTAGAGACAAATAATTTTACCTACTGAGATAAATAATATATTTGCTCTTAAAGCTTAGCTATAGAGACCACTACAACAATTGCCTCTAATTATTTGTCTCTATAGGCCGGTTTTCTTGTGGTGTAGCTAGATATCTGGGATTACCTGTTTCATCGCGTCATCATAACTCAAGTTCAAGCTTAATTGTCACCCACATGGCCACATCATCATCGTCCTCATCTTTTTCTTTGTCTTAGTCTTCATCTTCGTCGGTTAATAAGGCTTGGAATCTGTTGGCTAGACGATTGACCTTATTAGCATCATGTTGCTGATGGTTTTTATAATTGGTCCTGTTCTTCTTCGTTAACTTTGGGACGTCCACGACGGCCGGCTTTGTTTTTGTCTGCTCAAACGTCCTTTCTTGATCTTTTCTGCGCATATGGATCATATCCCTACATACGTTACATGCCATGCAACAAGTCAAGGGAACCAAACAAAACAATTAGAATTCAATCAATTGACATTATTAACTTGATCAGTAAACAACAATCTAGACACATGTGGTGCGTTACCAGGGCATGGGTAGGAACCAAAATGTACGTGCCTTCCTCTTCAAAATTAAGTTGTCACCCCCACCAAGATCAGCATGACAATGAAACCTCTCAACCTTTTGATCGCCAAGATTGAAAATGCCGCAGTCATTACCATACTCATTGGAGGTGAAAGCTCTGAAATGAAAGTCTGGAAAAACGAAGTAGATGCGGTTGCCTTTGACCCCATTATTATTATTGAGTGGATCCGCATCAAGACAAAAGGACTGGTGAGACCCCAAAAACACAGCATGGCCATCCAAGTCCGTCACTTCTGCCCAATAGTTAGTATTGTTGTTGCAGTTACCGTCTCCTTTCTGTACAAGCTTGTACACCTCGAACTCGATGTGGTAATGAGAGGGATTGTACCAGTCACTACTATGGCTTAGGATGACCAGGAGTTGACCTCCGAGGTTGGCCAAGTGGTACGAGGTCCCGTAGTCTTCATGAGCACTTCTGTCTCGCCAGCTGGAGAGGTATGACATGGCCGGAGAGAGCGGGAACACTCTCACACTAAGCGTACACGTCACCAGACCGTGAACCACGGACACGTACTCGCCATCCACCAACACGTACAGCTTCCCCCCGAAGTAGTCCATGTCTACCCGGCATCGAAACCAATGGTAGGGTTCCTTGTTGAAAATGCTCGAGTCGCGGCACGAGAACTTCCATCCTCCTACTGCGTCCTTGACCACCGCGTGCACGTTGCACCACGCCAGTTGGGGCCTGGAGCGAAAGAGAAGGAAGACGTGGCAGTCCTCCTCCTCGTCGTCGTCTTGGTCGGGAGAAGAAGAGATGGCTCCTTTAAGGATGTGGGTAGGGTTGGCGGGGAAAGGGAGAGGAGGGAGAGGGATGGAGGATTTGGTGATTGGGTTCAAGAGGTAGAAGCTGATCTGTGATAGGACGTGCTGCATGATGAGGATCCACCCGTCATTGGAAGCCACGTAGTGTTTTGCTTCAACGGTGGACCCCAGGTAAGAGTCGTCGTCGAGGTAGATGCCGTCGCCGCCGTGGAGGCGCACCGACTCACGAATGATGTGGGACACCTTGGATCGTGATGGGAAGTGAGGCAGCGTCACGTGCGGGAGCCTTCTCCTTCTCCTTGGCGATGGCTGCTGCATAGTGGTGAGGGGAACGAAGTCATGTGGTGGTCCGCAGTAGCGAGAGGCCGCGGGGGATTTCAACGGCATGGCCGCGGCTTGCGAGATGAGGAGGCCCGGAAGCTGCATGGATAAGGGCCGGCGGTGGCGGAGTGGGAGAGCGGCGGTTCTCCATGATTTGCACACTCCGGAGAAGGCGACCAACTGAGAAAAGGTGTGCACGTGCTGCGTCACTATCTTTTCCAGTACGTCGGCCCCCAATTCGGAGTAATCCATTAGCTAGGGTTTACTCAATCTGGACAAAGGAAAGGAAAGAAAGAACCCTAATAGATTGGTTTTAAATTTCGAATGGGAAAGATTCAAGAAGAACGTACGTACGTAACTGACGAACATCCATGGAGAGAGACGAGAGAAGAAGAAGGCGCTTACCGGCCGAGGAGATGGAGGACGCGAGAGCGAAGAAGACAGAATGGACGTGAATCCGGTGAAATGTAATTGGAGCGGAGGATAGGAGGACGAAAACCCTAATTTTCTCGGATAACATATATATAAAAAATGGGTGATAATTGGCTGCTGGCTGGATTGCAGCCCATAGCTGCTACCAATTGCGTGGCAGTGTATTATTGGCCTATAAAATGTTAATTAATTATTATACTTATTTGGCAAACGGTACGGAAGCGGCTTCTTTTCTTGGACCGGACGGAGAAGCAGCCCAACAGTGCTATTTCTTTACTCTTTAGCTTTTATTCTATTATTATTATATTTGTGATTTTGTTTTGTTTTGATAAAAAAGGAGATCTAATAAAATTAAACCCACCTGCACAGCACTCCCATGCTTTATTACTTGCTTTCTAGCCTAACATAGTAGACCTCCAGGTCTCTTTTTTAAACATCACGTACAGGCGTACAGCCATAGTTTTACCTTCTGAATTTTTTTTTATATAAAGAATATATTGAGAGGAATGATATGATATAATATTATGTACAATATGATATAATATTATGTACAATATTACGTACGGCGATAGTTTGGCCAACATCAACATGATCATCAACATGAAAGTACCAAATTGATCCCTAAATGTTAAAATTAATTCTATGAAAATAACCTCTTCAAACATAATAAACATCACGTACGGTCATAGTTTCACCAACATCAACATGATCACCAGCATAAAAAAGAAAGTACCAAATTCATCCCTAAATGCTAAAATTAAT